CTCTCTCTCTCTCTCTCTCTCTCTCTCTCTCTCTCTCTCTCTCTCTCTCTCTCTCTCACACACACACACACACACACACACACACACACAGACAATAAATCAAACGATTACATTAAATGGAAAGAAGTCCGATGAAGAAGTAGAGAAGGAAAAAGAAAAAGGTGACCTCATGTTATAGGTCAACGGATCGGCATTCGATCTTTGAGAATTCGTTGATCTTTCACAACAAAATCTCACATTCGTCGCACCGTCGCTCTGTTGTTGGAGAAGGGAAAACTCTTGCTCTCCTCTCCCTCAAAACTAACCGACATAGACGGCTGAATCATGTAAGTAGTCGGGCTGCAGGTCTACAAACCGACAAAAGCAACAACAACCAGCATCTGCGGCTAGGACAACAACCACCTTTTGCTAATCTCAGGGCGTACTCAAACTCTACAAGGGCAATTCGAATAGAACGCATGTACTTTCTTCTCGAATAATACGCATATGCGTTATATATATAGTCACGAAGATATCAGAGCGTAAAAGCGAAAAAAACAAAAGGAAAACAAGGGAAAAAAACAATTCGTATAACGTCGCCCACGTGGATGTAGGTTGTATATATATGTGGCCGCATTTACAGCAGAACCTTGATGTATCTGACCGTAATTAGGAGTATATGCCCTCACAAGCACGAAACAAAACCCAAACGTCTCGACATACTATCTGAGATAGAGAGACAGAGAGATAACACCCCTAATATTCCGGCCTCACTCTCTTCCCTCTTTTTTATTCCTTTTGTTTTTCCCTTTTTTCTTATAAAACCTTGACCCACTGTTTCACAACGATCGACTCTCCCCCCCCTCCCTCCTCCCCCCCTTCAAGAAAAAGAAGGAAATCGGCTCTCACATCAACGGCTGTCAGTAAACCCGATCACCGTGGACCCCACCGGCATTACCGACGTCGGGATGCAGGCACTGTTGCTGCCGGGATACCGACATTATCGCCGCCGGGAGACAGGCACTGTGGCTGCCGGGATACCGGCAATATCGCCGCCGCCGGGATGCAGGCACTATCGCCGCCGGTTACAGGCACTACCGCCGGCGGTTACAGGCACTATCGCCGCTGCGGAAATAAGCCGCACATGTACACCCCTCGTCCGTGCGCCACGTGGCCGTCACACTCTACATGTACGCCACGTGGCCGACACGTGTACGGTTTTCCTTCCTGCTTTGGTCGACACGTGGGCGTTTCCCCTGCTGCTCCCACCGCAACGTTGATCATAGGAAGGGGCGGTTTATCTCCTTCTATACGAAAGAAGACCCCAAAACGAACCGGGCAGACGGTACGGTATGGTACGTTTCTTTCGTTTTCTTTCTTTTTCGTTTTTTGGCTTTTCGAAAGCAGGCGGTACTACCATCTTCCCCCGAACATAACACATATGCGTTGTATTCGAGTTTTCTAAAAAAAACGATTTTCGGAAAGTTAACCCTTTTCTTCGAATACAAGGGCACTTCGAATAGAACGGATGTGCTTTCTTCTCGAACAATACACACACGCGTTATATTTGAATTCCATGCAGCAAAAATTGTTGTAATCAAATATAACCTTTTCTTTTTCTCCCCCGAAGGTCAACGCCTGCTCCGTTCTTGCCCTGGTGAACGGGACAGGCCCGTGCAGGCCCGTAATCACAGATCACTGCCCATGCTCTCTCTCTCTCTCTCTCTCTCTCTCTCTCTCTCTCTCTCTCTCTCTCTCTCTCTCTCTCTCTCTCTTTGTGTGCGCGAATGCGGTTCTGACAGCCAAGAATGTGACGCGGCCAAGAAAGTGGCGCAGCCAAAAAAGTGGAAAAATAAGAAAGCCACTCACCAAGGTCTCGCTGCACTATTGTGGTGACCGTCACCAAGACAAAAAAAAAAGGGGTTGTATTTGTTCGCGTTCTAGGGAAAGATTCATTCACATTTTGCACATTTGTTGAGGAGTGGGGCAAGGGCCCAAGTAGGGGAAAATAATGAAACTCAACCCAGAAAAGGGAAAGGTGCGTCTCTACTTTACTTTTACTTTTACTTTTTTGTCAAGGCTCGGAGGCCCCCAGTCGTGGTCCAGAACTAAGCGTACTCAATTTGGACCCAACCCCCTTGTGCAGGCATATGTGTTGTAAACGAATACAACGCACGGTATGCATTGTATTCGTTTACAACGCATATGCGTTATGTTTGCGGGAAGACGGAACTACATCGAAGAAGTTCGGTCCTGATGCTACCGGCTGACCCGATCTTGATGCTACCGGCTGAACCGGTCCTAATGTTACCGACTAACCCCTGACCGGTATCGCCCACCTGCTGTAACAGGTATCGCACATGCTGGTTGGTGCAGCTCCCACATGTTCCCTCGTTGGATGCTTGAGCACTGATGTGGCTGCTACATGGTTCCCCGTAATACTAAAACTAGCTAAGCACCCGCAAAGTGGGCTATGCCCACAGAAAAAACAAATGTAGTGGGTCACCAGACACTGACCGCTCGCATAAACTCAGACAGACTTCCAAAAAATAATACTAAAAAATCAAAAGGTGATAAAAAATATCCTAAAACCGACTTCGAAGTCGGAGCACAATTGACTAATTAAAAATATGATAGATAGAAGGAAAAAAAAAAAAAAAAAAAGGGAGGAGAAAGAGAGAGAGAGAGCTCGCGCGTGTGCACGCTCGCACACGAGAGAGAGAGAGAGAGAGAGAGAGAGAGAGAGAGAGAGAGAGAGAAAAAAAAAAAAAAAAAAAAAAAAAGGAGCAACAAAAAAACAATGCATATAATAAAGAAAGTACAATGCCTAGCATAAAGAAAGAACAATACCAACATACAAAGAAAAAAATTTAGAATAAAGTTTTTCGTTCTATTCAACTGGGCGCACTATGATGAAGGGCAACACAAATCATAGCAGACCAGGGCACAACAGAGCAGATCATTGCAGAGCAGAGGAGAGTAGTGTAGACCAGGGTAGATAAGTGAAGAGGAGCAAAGCAAAGCAGGGAAGCGAAGAGCAGAGAAATGTGGAGTGGAGGAGCATAGGGAAGATAAGAGTAGAGAAGAGTAGGGAAATGTAGAGTCGAGGAGAGTAGAGTAGAGTAAAGTAGACTCGAGTATAATAGATTGGAGTGAAGTGGAGTGGAGTGGAGTGGAGTGCATTACAGTGGAGTGGATTGGAGTACAGTGGAATGGAGTGAAGTAAAGTGGAGTGAAGTAGAGTGGAGTATAGTAGAGTGGAGTGGAGTAAAGTAGAGTGAAGTGGAGTAGAGTAGAGTGGAGTGGAGTGGAGAGGAGGAGAGTGTAGGCGAGTGGAGTGGAGGCGAGTGAAGTAGAGTAAGGCAAAGTGGAGTAAAGCATAGTAGAGTGAAGCAGTGTAGAGCAGAGCAGAGTAGATCAGAGGAAAGCAGAGCATAATGGTTTAGAGCAGAACATAGCAGAGAAGACCAGAGCATAGTAGGGCAAAGCACATAAGCGTAGAGTATGAAAGCATACAGAAAAGAAGAATATGGAAAAAAAACGTATGAAAGAGAAAAGCAGAAAGAAGCATTGAGTAAAGGAGAGTAGAAAAGAAAAACGAAGGGAAAAAAATAGTAGAGAAGAGTAGAGTAGAGTAGAGAAGAGAGGAGTAGGGAAGCGTAGAGTGTAGAAAAGTAAAGTAGAGTATAGTAAAGTTGAATGGAGTAGATTGTAGTGCAGTAGAATGGAGTGGAGTAGAGTAGAGTCCAGTGGTGTGGAGTCGAGTTAAAAATTCGCAGCCCGTCAGGGTTGCGTTTCCCCCCCCCGAGACATTTCAACGTCAATCAAATTTCAACGTTGTGGTCGCCGGGAGGGTGGGCATTTCGAGTTTTTTGGGTCTTGCAAGGGCCAAAACCGCGTAGGACCGGTAGCTGCCTGTAGGAGGCCAAGTAGACCGTGGTCCTTAAGCCTTTTTCGAAATTGAAACGGTGTG